ACAGGACAAATGCTTCATTGCTTGTACAGAAATACAGAAGAGGAATTGAAACAGTAGAGATGTTTACATTAGATCCCAGCTGAGACCGCCAGGCACAGGTTTCCTCATATTACGATGTGGGTTTATGAAAGGGCAATGCAAATGAAAACCTATTTTGAAGGCTCTATATGATTCCCAGAGGAGGGGGATTTGTTCATTCAGACCAATACAGCAAGTGTGATAAGCCCTTATGATTTGTGACAGGGTAACCTCCTTGGCACACGCTTCAGAGTGTGATATTTGCATCTGTACAGGAATCGCATGCTCTGCTTGCCTCTGAGATTTGCTGCCTGAAATAACTGCAGTATTTGCTGTGTCATGAAAGCACATGATCAAACAGCAAAATCGCTGGGAATCCATGACTTCACATGTCACATGTGTGCACCCATTAAGCTGCACAGCGTAATGTTTGACATGTAAGCAGCAGTTTGCATGCATGTGCAAAAAGACACTTTGGTTGCCTTAAAAGTGAACTGGTAAACAAGTTAATTTCCGCAAGGTTGGAAAATGGAGCCCGATTAGCATATATGCAGAGAGAGAGGCTTTGCATGGTTGACATCCTCTCAGCCCCTCTGCTGGAAATAGCCAAGCGCACAACATCCTCTGATCACATTGATATGTAGATTCATGCATCTGCAAAGATTAGTTATTCATTAATGTATTTGCTTTAAATTCTCGGGTGAGTGTACCTCGGACAGAAGTCTGGGGCAAACCAAATGCATCAGAGGAAAAATGTCACAAATGATCATACAAAATCCACTTCAAAAATAAGCAGGTTCAGTGACCCACAACAACACTAAACTATGGCATTATGGTGAAGAAACTGTTGGCAGTGGGGTTAAAAGCAGAGACAGCATGAACAGAATTGTCAGCCTTTTCATCTTCACAGCAGAATTAGTTTTATTTGCTCTAAGTGGAATATGAGCATTAATCATTGCAGCCTAGCACTCTGTCATCCTTTCATAAAAGCATCATGGATCACCAGTTTGTGCCGTCAGTGTCCTTCTCTTGTGGCCACACTGCAAGCATTTTTTAGATTTAAAAATAGGCTTGTGGTGGAGAGTGCCAAGAAATGCTAAATACCAAACAATGTCCCCTTGCTCAGCTCTGACCACAAAAGAGAGCTGAGACTCTACTCAGTATAAAACAGTGTCACATTAATTACGTCTATTTGTATCAGCCAGCTTATACAGAGCTGATGCATATCCACACATAGTGTATAATGTCAGTTATTGGTCAGGTTTATCTACAAATCCCAGTTAGAAAGCGTCAAGTCATCCACATTATAAGACTAAGACAGGAAAGAGTTTAACAGATTTTCCCTTTACTTCCCCATTAAGACAAAAAGAGAGGAGACTGTCTGATGAGCATGGGCTGACAAAATGAAAGGCCTGGTGAAAATTCAGGCTGTTTGACATTCAACACCAACTTGGCCACTGTCGTCAGTGCTGTCATTACTGTCATTATTGTCATCGTAGCAGTTGGTGTCACACTGAAATCTGTGACCTGTCAGATTCATGGACACACAAAGGGTCAGCCGCAGGATACAGACTGATGGATTAACCAAATAGTGACAAATGGCTCTACACGCAGACCTGCACACTACTGGCCTCCAGCTTGTGCTTTTTTTAAAAATAAATACTATTTTTGGTGCCAAAACACACTATGTTACTGTGATTTAAAAAATGTCTAAACTTCCTAATCAGGTCACACAACTGATGGGCTGCTAAATTCAGCATGACACTTGGATATCACCAAGCACCCCAGTAAAGCCCAGAAGACTGTGTAAAAAACAAAAAAGGCAATGAAATTTAAAGTTCAATCCATCACTGCTGAAAAATATCTGGTCCCAACCTAAAACTATTGGTGCCAGATTGCTTTCAACTAATCAAGAGCCTCCTCCTCCTGTCCTCCTCTGCTGAAAATGATGATCTGTGGCTGTTATGGATGTAATGCACCAGTTTGGGTTGTTGTCTCAGTTAGTGACATCATAGGTAATGATGCTAAATTACACTGATGGGATTAACGGAGGCTAGCAAGTCATACATCAAGGGGCTACTTTATATGAACTGACATTTCGGGTATTATTCAAACTCCAGTCCGTTCAAAGACATAGCTCTCTGTCCCTATCCTCTCTCTTCCTCCCTCCCTCCCTCCCTCCCTCTCTCTCCCACACAGTTTGCCACGAGCTACCAGAGGGGACATCTCATTCTTTTATCCATGGCGAGTCATTGTGATGGTGTCAGCTGGTGCCGTCTCTTTTATCACACTGGAAGCTAATGGAAACAGCAACTGCAAGAGGTGGGGGAGAAAATGCAGGCACACACACACACACACATAAATACACACAGAGAGCCATAAGAGGTTGGGGAGATGAGGAGGGTGGGCATGCCAGGCCCCAGGGCAAGAGTTGTTTTGTGGTGCTGTTTTTCTTGCTTGCTGAGGATTCTCTATCAGTTTGTGTTTCTGACACTCGATAAGCCACAAGAAATGACTCCAGATGCTTTTCCCCCTATTTTGATGTTTCAATTTTTTTTTTACTACGTTAGTTCCTACATTACCCCCCTGGTGGATGTCATCTTCACCCAAAACTATTTATTTTACACATCCCACTGGCTCTCGTTTTAACTAAAGCTACACAAAACTGTGTATATTTTTTTTCCACCTAATCCCTGGTTGTAATTTTATTGGGCATACATTTTTTGTTTATATCTATTGACCAGAACTTTCTTTGGACAACAATAGGATTTAATTACAACAGAGGAAATAACTGTTAATTCCTGCAGGGGTTGACCTAATTTCCTGATCACAGCGTTGAAAATCACAGAGATGTTATTTTAAACACTCATGCTAACAGGGACATATGGCAGGCATGTATTGTTTTTATGTTTTCTATAACTCTTTATTTTTCAGTCTTTTTCTGTTTGTATAACATAACAATCGTGCTTTATCATGTGACACCATTTAGATACATATCATGTTTATATTATGTTTTACATTAGGCAGTGAGACAGTTAAAAATATACAAAACAATATTGTTTTACTAGACATAGTTTCTATTTTTAATATACTCTTCAGTATCTTTATTGTCATCATCTGGTATATTTCTGTAAGATATGTGCTTTAGCTTCTGTGATCAAAATATTATTGCAGAAAACAGCAACTTCATTTTTTCAACATTTAGACAATAACCTCCAATGTATTACAGACATTCACAGTTACATGTTTTATACGGTACAGTTTTACAACAAAGTTCCAGAGAAAACTGGTAGAGTTACTTTATACAAAATTCACAGGACATGAACTGTAGCCATTTCACATTTTCGCTCAGTTGTTTTGCTTTTCAAAGTAAACGTTCTGTTCGATCTAGTGCCTTTCACAGTAGCTGCCATAGAAGCAAACTGACATTGTCCTAACGTGCCATGCTAAAAGTCTGGGGAAATTAAAGCTTTGTGCTTTTCACTAGTAAAGCAAAGTCAACATAAGCAAAAAGAGAAACAGACCACTTGCTGACTGGCCTGCACTTGCACATCTACATATGTATTGCTGAATACATATTGATCAGACCACACTTGATCATTACACAGAAAGAAAAAAATAATGACTGTACTAAAACACAGAGTTGGTCCAGGTTTTTATGCTAACATACAAAGTAGTATTTTGTGGCTGTGCCCAGTCAAAACAGACTATGGCTTAGTTAAAATTGATGTATCGGCTTAAGGCCTTTTTGCTTTTTCTTCTTCTTTTTTCTGTGTATTTCTTTCTTTGTTCGTCAGGAGACATTTCAGAGAATTTCACTGATGTTCCTGAGGAAAGCATGCAAAACGTAAACAGTAAACAGGATTGACTGTCACCATTAAGGGATAGTCGATATCTGGAGGTCCCTTTAGTAACCTTGTGCTTTGTGTGTGTGTGTGTGTGTGTGTGTGTGTGTGTGTGTGTGTGTGTGTACTTCTTTGTACCCTGTGCTTTGCCAACCGAACACTAAATGGCATAGTTTTTGCTTTTGTCTGCCTATTGGTTTTGGTCCTCCATTACAACACATAGAGTATAAAACATCCTAAAAATAATTCTAAAAATGTTTTGATCACATAAAAGTTTTATCTCTTTTTTTTAAAATGAAAAAAGAAGAAAAAAAAATAACAGTCTCTCTCACACACAAAATCTTTTGCAACACACACTGGATTACTCCAGAGCTCCTGAACATGAACTTCTTATTGGCATTGTGCTTTCTCAGAGCTCCTGGTTTGCCTTGTGGCCTTTAGTTTACCTCACAGAGAGCAACGCTTGGAGAAAAGAGAACTGTGTGAGGTTTAGTAAACATCCACAATAAAGCTGACGCAATCCCGTGCACTCTTCAGTGATGTCAACTTTGTTCACTACTTCATCTACTATATTCACACGGTATTTACTTGTTTCATGAAGATATTCAACAAATCTCTAATCTATATCTCTGTATTTTTTTTCTTTTCTCACAGTATTACACAGTATGTTTATATTTTTTAAATCAGATTTATGGTTGTATTTGTGAACACTAACAGTCTTTGATATTGTTTTCAGAATGCAAACCAACAATAAGACATCATTGGCTTGGTTTTAGAAATGCAGAAAAATGAAACATGGTTTGAAAATGTATTTTGTTCACATATTGCCCCTGGAGGTAGGTGAATCAATTAAAATCTTGGAAGTTCTTTGTAATGTTCTCTTTTGTCTACACACTCCATGAGGGTTTCTTTGTTGTCTACACGTTGGCCTCAGCGTTGGTCAGATTACTGGTCGGGTTCGTTGGGTTCAGGGGGGTAACAGGCTCCGTAGGGCTCGCTGGGTTGAGTGGCGGGCCGGTTGGGCTAATAGTTGTGGTGGAGGCAGGGTAGACCGGACTAGCTGTAGTGGTGGTGGTGGTAGTGATGGTGGCCACGGGACTAATTGCTGGGTTCACAGGGCCAGGGGTGGTGGCTGGATTAGCTGAAGGGAGAGCCGGGTTTGCGGGGGTCACGGGTTTCTCCCTGCTGCTCAGGTCCATTCTCTTGACGTCGCCTGACAACTGCAGGAGGCTGAAGCATTATCCGAATTCGCTGGGAGAGAAACACAGCACAAATTAGTTACATCAGAAAAGAAGCATGTTAGGTTACGTAAGTTTCAAGCTACTCTACACACAAGGTAACAAAACCTGTGCATCCTCTTAACAAACCAAACAGATTATTCACTTTCTTACCTCTTTGTAAGTGCCCTTGAGTCCAAGATACATGTAGATCATGTATCCTGGTATGAGGACCATGGAGGACAGTGACATGACCCAGCCCACTCCCTGACCCCAGCTTGGGAACACATAGTCTCCCATTGTGAGAGGAACCATTTGTACGGCGCTGAACAAGAACACCCCCTGTGGGAGACATGAGACGCTTTATGCATCCTGACACCACTGACTACAGGCAACACAGTTTCAGCCTAACATGGCTGCAGGCAAGTAATATTGACTTTATTTATTGTTTCATTTTTCATGTCGTGACTTTAGATGTACTGTTGTATTAGTTCAGATTACTCACAGCGACAACGAGAGGGGTGAACACGACCCAGCATAACTTCCACCATATACAAGGCCTGTGGCCAATCATCTCCTGGATGTTGTCATAAAACTTGTTCACACCTGCAAGACAAATGAATCTATGATTAAAATATTCATATCCAATTTATTTCAATTTGCTGCTGGCCTGCCATGCATGATGATGAGGATGGTGAGGTGGAACACGAGTGCTCATGACCTTGAGAGTGAACAGCGTTTGAAGCTGCGCAAATATCTCTGGACAGGTGTGACGTTTTCTAAGCTACTGTTACATTACATCATATTACACCAGCTCCATTTGTTAATTTGTGACGAAAAATACCAAATTTGTTCCTTTCTTTGTTGTATTCATTGAAACATTGATGATACACACCGTAGCACCAGGATATGGAGATGCATTCAAAGAAGACCAAGAACAGCAGGCACATTCCACTGGCAGAGTAGTAGTCAAACAGTTTGAACACATAGATTCCACCCTGGTTACAAAAAAAAAAACGAAGATGTGTTATAAAACGTCTATGTGCAGATACAGCATAACATACCCTGGTAACGTAACGTAACTTCTGTGCCCAGAAGAGAACAAGTCAAGATTTAGATTGGCTCTTGCTCACAAAACAGAATTTTACTATCACATTTCTCTTCTTTCAATTCCTTTGCTCCTTTATTTAACCCTGCACCATTTATAATCAGTGATAAAGTAAGAGCGCTGCCCTCCTGTACCTGTGTGATGTTTGAAAGTCCGATCACATAGGACACCAGACAGACAACTGCGATGAAGATCTCTCGTCTACCCCTAAGAACTCTGGGAAATTCATCCACCAGAGCAGTGATGAAGCCTTCAACAGTGCAGAACTGAAGGACAGAATCATAGAAACAGCATTAAGCATAAGTGTGAATATGTGCATCATTTGCACCTTGCTACAATTATATTCTTTAAGATTAATGTGCATAAATATGTGTATTTATTTTATTTGGGCATGTAGAGGTTGGTGAATATTTTGCAAAATGTGCTCCTTAGCAGAGAAGTTTCATTTTAGAGGAGACGCTGACTGATGATTACAAATGACAAAGAACTGCACTGTGCAACAGGCCATGAAAAAAATATTCTAATATAATCTTCTGGGTGACCAAGCATCTACTTTTTGGAGCCCATTTTGGTAATAGCTCTGAAATGCAGTAGCGCTGTTGCTATGACATGGGGTATGAATTATAACCCTATGAATAGGGCTATAATTTATCTTTTACTTTGAAGTGCTGGTGGTCACAGCCAGTGTGTAGCCACTGGATATGTCTTTATCGAGTCTGTCTGGCTTTATTTGAACCTAAATACAAACACAAAATAAAGAAACAGACACTGAAGCCTGCAGGCACATGGAGGTGATAAAGTTGCATTAAAAAGACTTGACAGCTGATGTCAAAGCTCAGCTATATCTGTCCACAAGAAGCAAATTGCATGCTTGTCATGCAGAGAGCAGGGGTGAGCTGCATGATATGCACCTGTATTTAAATATTTAGGTCAGTTCGTGAGCAGCTCGTCTCCGAGCCCCTTACCTGGCTGTCTATCCCCAACATGAGCAGCATGGAGAAGAACAGAATGGCCCATAGAGGAGACACAGGCAACTGGGTTACAGCCTCTGGGTAGGCCAGAAAAGCTAAGCCAGGACCTGGATAGTAAATAGGAAACTCATATTTAATCAGGGTTATTCTCAGAGCACTCTGATTCCCACATAGGGGTAAGGACAAAATCTGTGTTTTAGCAGTCAATATCAGCGACTGTGCACCTTGTTTTGTACAGAGACAAAATCATTCAATCTGCGGTTACCTGAAGCTGCTACGTCGGCAATGTCTTTCTTTGTCACATGTGCCATGAAGCCAACAATAGAGAAGATTACAAAGCCAGCAAACATGCTGGTACACGAGTTGATACAGCACACAATGATAGAGTCTCTGGGGAGAGGAAATATAAAATAGGCTTGTTGTCAAAGATTTAAGTTGACTTGTATGTGGTTGTATGCCGAGCTTGGCTGAAAACAGTCCGTACAGGAGGGTCTTAAGGTGTGAGAGCTCTGAGAATGATGCTGTTTATTCCTTTAGATCATACAGACATTTAGCAAAAATACCATTTGTATTGTTTACATTTCATGTAAGAACTCATATCAAATGTTCATCCCTTTTGATATAGAGGTAGAAAGATGCATTTTGACACAAGCGCACAAAAAAATGCAACTATTTTTATGTAACTTGTTTTCGTGACCCAGAACAACAGGACCATTGGAGAAAGCACTCAGGCTCCACTACCATAGTTGTTTTTTTTCTCAAGCATGTGCACTGACTGCAAAAAAACTGCCCTCTCTTTGGATTGTTATTCATGTCAGCACCACACATTAATAAGACCCTTTAAGAGCTCGTATTAAGCGTCTTTGAATAAGGTTTTTAATAGGGGCCTATTATATAGTAATTATATAGAAATTTAATTGCTGCCATCTTCAGTTATTACAATCTGCACTGATTACACTGAATTCAACAGCTCTGTCTGTCTCCGTTCTGCCTCACAAGGTACCTTCCAATCATGAGTCATCACCAGTCTTACCTGTAGACATTGTTATTGAAAGGGTTATAGCTGCCCAGAGCTATGAGTGACCCCAATCCCAATCCATAGGAAAAAAAGATCTGGGTAGCTGCATCTAGCCATACCTGACAAAGGAACACAAGCGTTTAGCTGCAAGAGACCAAAGTCTGCTCACTCAGGCATGCAATACATAGGTACGAGTCATGTAGTACCTCAGATTCTTTGAGTTTTTCAAAGTTGGGGGTGATATAGAACAGAATTCCCTCTCTAGCTCCAGGTAGAGTCACCCCACGGATGAAGAGAATTAACAGCATGAAGTAGGGATATGTAGCTGAGAAGTAAACCACCTATAAAATGCGAGACAGCTGTTAGCAGGGTAACACTGTTACATCTTAGGGATAGTTATGATGCATACATGGAATTCTCTCAATATTCAGATATTTTCAGGACATTTTCATAAACCTTCTCATGATTTTTTAAAAGTCTCTTTCACACACACAGAAACAAATGTAGAGACCCAACAGTCAGCATAGAAATCACTGCAGGTTTACTTTAAACAAGCTCTCTCTGTCACTGCGCATTTATGATACTGTGCAATCAATGTGTGAGAAACATGTGCAGAGGGACGGGGTATTTTGTGACCATGGTCATGTGATGCACCACTAAGGGTGGAAATTGCTCCGAGTGACGGGTGAGGGCAAAACCAGATTGTAGCATATGGCAGTTTGTTGCTCCTCCTGTCATGAATCCACACTCAGTATAGACACTGTGTCAGGAAAACTGGAATTAGAGGAGCCACTATAATGCAGAGTACGATTAGTGTTTGATGGCTCTTCTTTTATTTTCAAATCAATCTTGATGATTCTGACTGAAATCTAAATGATTGATGAGATAATATTAGACTGATTAATATTGCATATCTGTCACATACAGCTCCTAATTGGGAACCAGTATAGCATAAGAGGCCTTGGACATCACAATCAGGCAAATGGCTTACCTTCCCTGTCCAGCGAACTCCTTTCCAGATACAGAAGTACACAAGGACCCAGGCGATGGCCAGTGTTATTGCCAGTGGCAATCGAATCTGGCCTGGTTTTTCCAAGCCATCGGTCATTTGATGCATGTTGAGCCTATAAGTCGGCGTGAACGACAGTAAGACTGTTATACACACAAGGACATTAGCATGCAGCAAAGAAGCCTGCCTTTTATGTATCTCTCGGATGCATGCAGGATACTTTAAAGTTCTGCTGTTGTGAAAGCAAGAGAAGGCAGTCAATATCTTACTCCCAAAACTCCACCACTGCACTGGTGAGATTGGTGGTATTTGCGATGGAGTAGTTTGTATAACATTTGTTTGTGTTCCATTCATTGGAACATGAGCTCCATGGCAGTTCCTGAAACAAAAATACAGTGTTTGTGTTTTCCTCATTGACACATTCAGGGTATTTGAAATTTCAGAGAAGTTGTAATTCGTAATGATATAATAACCTTGACGCTAGCCTAGATTGTTACGAATCCTAATAGTAGACTGTATAACACTTACAGTGGTGAAGGAGTTGTACAGGTAGTAAATGGCCCAAGCAATTATTACAATGTAGTAAATGTTAAGCCAGAAGGACAAGACAGCTGCTGCAAGGCCCACACCTATCATACAGAAATGAATTAGGCAACATTATCATTATGTTATATGGCCTCTATAAATCATAATATTCAAAATTATTTCTATGAAAGCATCAGATGCCATAAAGATATGTTTCCAGCATGAACTGATGCAAAATGAATACATTAGAAGATAGGCCTGGTATTAAGAAACAACTTTCCTGAACGATTTAGTTTAAGTGAGGTATACCTTTAAACATAGGAGCCAGTTTCCACACACCAAGCCCTCCAATTGAGGTGTATTGACCAAGGGCACATTCCAGTAGAAACAAGGGGACCCCAGCAAATGTGAGGGTCAGAAAATATGGAATCAAGAAGGCTCCTGGATGGAAAAAGTAGATCAGGTTCTGTATTAAAAATGACAAGTCTTAGGCTGAAACTACTTACACTACAGCACAACTTCAGTTATTGTGGGTTGCAAATGTAGGTGGTACTCATTCCTTCCATGTCATCGACACGGTCCATTAGGCAAGCTCGGCTATGTGTGTGTTATGGAGCAGAATGAGCTGTGCAGTTTGCATAAATTAGTTGTGAAAATGATGTTTACCTCCGCCGTTTTTTCCACAGAGATAGGGGAATCTCCATACGTTTCCCAGTCCGATTGCATAACCCACACACGACAGGAGAAAATCAAATTTTCCCGCCCATGTTTCTCTAGGCAGCTCGTTTTTCTGCTTTTCGAGTTTCACGTCCAGAGACTTGGGCTTGTCAATGTTAGTGGCCACCTCGTTCAGTTCTGTGACTTGACCATCCGCTTTGGTGCCGTTCGTCGCCATGTCTCTGGATTTGGCAGAGGTCCTGACAGTCGGCCGGGGGGCTTCAGCACCAGTCCACGTAGACAGCAGCTTCGCGGTTTTTAGACCTAACCTTGGGACCAAATGTCTGGAGATGAAGCCTGTGCACACACGGCTCGTCAGTTGCCGTTAACCTGGAATCGTGAATAGAGCATTTGGTCGGTTTTTCAGGAGGCGCTGAAAATGTGGTTACTTATGAAGCAAATATGGACACATTGTGCACTAAAGTCAAATTGTCCCCGGCAGGTGCAAATAATCAATATTGATTCTATTCAAACATATGCAGTTTTATTTGGAAATGTGCGCTTAAACGCACATCAAAACACCTCGTGAACGTTTGGCTCCCTGACAACATTTTCATTCAGACTCAGAAAACACCAAAAACCACTGCTAAGTCATGCTGGACCTGCTCCTGTAACTAAAAACACAGACACAGACATATTGCGCGCAAATTAACAGCACTCCAAAGCAAATCAGCACACACATGACAGCCTAAACAAAGTCAGCAATTATATATGCCAGAAAAGGAAATCGGAAATTGACATAACCAACATAAAAAAAAAACTTTAAGACAAATTACAGGATCCAAAACATGCACTTCAGTCGTAAGACGCAGCATAGAAACAGCAAATAGCCTATTAGAATTAAGCATAATGAAGTGAAGGCCATCAGTTTGAACCTGCAGATTGTCTTCGCAGTTACCCACATACAGAATTGAAAGCAGCAGGGACACAGAGGTCTCAAACAAACTGGAACACAAAACGCATAGTGGAAACAAAGGGATGTCCAATGCGTAAAGGCTTTACGCATCAGGCTGCACAAATAGCCACCCGATTCTGTCCCAATAATTGAGAACCAAACGCGTTATTAAATGCATGAGAATGCCTCTTCACAACTGCACCATCCAGACTAACAAACAGTAATCAATTCTGCATTTAATTGGCTATAGCATGAAGGCGCAGAGCTCATCATGCAGTCATTACATTGACCCCAGCAACATATTGACAGTCTCATTCACAATTTAATTACACTCACTATCGCTGCAAAGACCACAAATGAATAATGCATTATCCAGATTTGCTTGTACGAGGGTTCAAACACGCACACACGCACAGACAGACGCAAGAATTCAGCCGCCAGTTTACTTACAATGAATCTGTGATCTGTGCCTCCGAGGATGCGGTGGCTGCCACGAATCTTGAAACGAGGTATCCGTAGATTCCTCCTGTGGATGAAGTTGTAAACTCCCAATATTGCTTGAAACATAAATAGATTTTACTTCCATTAAACGACTTAAAGGGACCATACAGCGTCGGAGGTGTCCAAGCAGGAGCTGTCCAGCGGGGATCAGTGCTGAAGACCAGGAGGAAGAGGAGGAGGAGGAAGAGGAGGAGGCTGAATCAACACGGGCAGCAGCCGCTTTGCCTTGTGCGACTGTCTAACATCAACAACTAGAGACTCAACATCTACACAGCCTCAATGTCATCTCAAAGTCGTCCCCCCTCCTCCTTCTCATCCTCGTCTATAGGCTGCACTGACATGGCGCTTGCAGCGTGTTTGTTTTGTAATATTTTCAATACTTGTTTCACTATTCCCCCTTCCTTTCCAATGCATATCAATAATCAAATATTTTTGCCATGGTCTCTCACAGCTATGTAAGCAAGTTTTGTAATCCATAGAAACTGAATGAAAATGAAAACAATTCCAGTTTCAAAGTGATGAATTGTTCACCGGTTGTGTTTTTGAACTCTTTATTTTAGGTTGTTTCCCTAAAACACTTTTTTGCTGCTTAAAATTGTGATTATCTTTTCACCCAGTAACACAAAATTTGACATCCCTCCACCCCCAAAAAACAGCCCTCCTCCCCCTCTGAAATAAAAATGTATTGTCGAGGTACAAAATGGAAACATATGAAAGCTAATATCAGCAGCATTATAAGGTCCAAACGCGTATATTTGGAAGGTGAGGCCAGTCTGCGTCTGTCTGCAAATCTGGCAAATTGTGATAAAGGGAGCCCGTCAATAAAGGGAGGGAACATTGTCTGGATGTCTACCTCTGCCTGCAAAGCCCGACGCCTTCCACAAATGAGGGGATGATAAGACGAGAATAAAGTCGTGGACAATAGGCTTGTTAGTAATAAAAAAACAAAGAAAGATAAAAAATAAAAAAAAAACCGTCGGACTGGGGAAAATGTCAACAGCAGAACAACGAAGAGTGGATCCGGTTGCGGATTTTTATTTTCTTCATTTTTTAAAGAAGCCATCCGGAAAGTGAAAGGCAGGAACTAAACACCTCTTTAAGGAGCAGTGCGTCAAATTTAAGCGCAACGGTAAGTGATCCACAGTCGGTTAAAATAGGGGCACACTGGTGTCATTGACCTGCTGTTTAGCACAAGCTTTACTTCAGCTCAGCTGTTTTTCTTGTCGGAACACAGATGTCACGTTTGGCTCCTACTTGTCTGTCCGTTTACTAACTTCATTACATTTAAAGGCTTTGTAGTTTGTCTCCATGCTTATAGTTTTGTTTTCAAACGTGTTGGCTGCTGTCACCTAGTTTCCTGCTTTAAATCAGAACTTATACATGCACTTTAAAAACAAATGCCACTGATTAGGTGGAGGGAATGCACAGTGAGTGTGGAGTAAACTGTTGGAAATACTCTGGCAGGGAGATCAGGAGCATTTAGACTCTGGTGTGAATGTTCCTATCACAGGCTGAGAGGGCACCAGATGGCAAACCAATGAGGGGTGAACTAACCTACTAAATGATACCACATGAAATGCAATATTTAAAATCCCATCTGGGTTGGAATCCCTGTGGACATGGAGTGTAAAACGTGGCACATATTTATACACCTGCTGATGGACCACACATGCATGTCCAATAGGCCGGTGACCTCCTAACCCTGCAGGTTCAGTGTGATTCAGCTCCTTGCTTATTTCAGCAGCAGCCCCCAGTCTCTTAATGTCAGTTGGACTCATGTATTTGACTTCTGTGTGTGCTGTGCATCGCCCATTAGGCTGGGATTAGACTATGCCACTGAGACTGAGTCTTGGGTTGCCCCCTTTTATTGGCTCATTGGCTGTAAAATCATAGTAATGATGGGGAGGTTGTTTGGAGGAGCATGCAACCAAGGTACAATTCACTTAACAGACAGATTTTCTGTTGGTGTCTTATTATTTATTTTATATTTTAACTTAAAGAGACACTGTTCTCATTACTTTACTGTGTGAACTACGTAAACTTTAGAACCAAATTCAAAGCACATATTTCTTCAAATAAGGTAATATGTCCAAAATATTAGTGGAGATGGAGTTGTTCACCTTTTATTAATTAAAAGCAAAATGATCAGAATAAAAAAACACATTCAATCAAAGGCAAAATAATAAATTATTTAATTTTTTTTTTAAATAATACCCGAGCTTATGTTTAAAAGGACAACTAATTTCAGATTATAACACAATCTAATGTACAAAAGCAAAAAAACAAAAAACAAACAAAACAAAAACTCTGTTGTGTGACTCAAACATCCCTGGAATAACCTCCTGAAGGTGAAGCCTGGCTGCTCTATTAATCTGATTTCCATTTTCTCCCTTGATGTCAATGCTTTACAATGACCTACCTTGAAACAACTGTTTTAACAGCAATCTCTGTGTGATTCTCTTTTCAGATGCATTTCCACTGAGTCATATTTCTCAACACCAGTCTGCAATTTGAGACCACAAAATGAACTGATTAGCATGATGATTAGTCATTAGTATGCTAATCATAAGCAATTCACATATTTTATTCATATTGTTGCAGACTTGTTTTTCTCCTTCTGCTGAAATTGTGTACACATCCCATTTAATTTTTATTGTAAACATGCAAGTCAGTTTGGTGATTGCTGACAATTTCACCTACCGTATAGTGCATCTTTTGGCTCACCTACGTAGAGAACAACATGAATGCTAACTATACACACAATAAAAAAAAAAGATGCACAGAACAAAATACTGCTTCAGTTCCCTCTTCAGGATAAATCTGGTTACTGAAAAGGTGCTACATAAAAACTAAATCAGCAAAATACAACACTAGAAACAATAAAACAAAAGCTAAACATTTACACATTCCTTGTTTCAAAAAAAAAACAGCAGGAAATGTGTGTCTCATCAGGTAATCCCACAGAGTTCTACTCTCAGACATGCAGCCTCATTTCTATTGCTTTTTGTCTTCATCAGCCTTTTGCTGTGATTGCTGCTGTATGTTTTCTCTGACTTGTGAGCACTGAGAGCTTAGAGTACAGTACTGCTGTGGTGTATCCCTGGCATCTTGGTGATAGAGGGACTGGCATGCAGGTTATTCACTTGGTAAGTAATGCATAACTGAATAACCACTCACTCGGTATTTCTGTATAAGGCTTCAATATAATTTGGTCTTCTCTCCCGGGGGCGATTGATGAAATTTACCACACAGCCTGCACATGCTGCTCAGAGACACCCGAGAAATGCATTACATATATTCACCACACTGTTTATTTTATTTGTTTGTGATCTCCACAGTGTATTCCCTCTAAAGATGCTGAAATCACTCAAAGGCTAAATGTTCTTATTTATCAGCATTTTTTTTAGTATAGCATTGTTTAGCATGACCTACATTGCTGTGAAGTGAGTGCCTCAGCAGCAGTAGCTCACCTCTCTCTCTACATCTTTCTCACTGTCTCTTTGAATGCCTCATTTCATTGCCTCGCTCTCTCGCTCTCTCTCTTTCACACACACACACACACACACACACACACACACACACACACACACACACACACGCACACTATTTTACAAACTGGTAAAACAAGCTGAGAGGACAGTTTTTTATATATATACAGCCATCACCAGATATTATTTTGATCCATAATGAAGTATGTCAGATGTGGCGAGGCAGGCTGGCCAATGACATTTCAGGAACATTGAATGAATCATCTATTAAATTTGTGGAGCATGCTCTATTTCTCTAGCTTGGTGTGTTTTTAATTTGTTTTTCTGATTTTACCTTCCTGAAGGGATCAACTATGCAAACAAGTTAAATCCCATGGAGACAAAAGACTAGCATTTCCCTCTGTTGGGATTCTGGTGCCACTCATTGAAAAGAAATGTTCTTTCCATAAATCCATGGAGCTAGACCGCCACCACTGAAGAGACTTTCATCCTTATGCAGTTTTGGCATCAACATGTCGGTGTGCACTGAGCAGGACAGGGGACAGGTACTAGTGTTGATCTGTTGACAGCCCTGTGTGACAACCAGCACATGGTGTGGCTTTAGTAAACATATGACCTCCATAATAACCAGTATGGGGGAACTAAATCCCTTTAAATTTTGTACACGTGTTGCTAGGCAACAGAATAATCGGCCTCCTTCTCTGCCTCCTTATATGGCTCTCTACTGGGATTGCTCTGCTGCTATGATTGAAAACGGTTAATTAACTTCCACAATAAAATCCATTAACAGTGCAGATTATGCTTCTGAGGGTTAAACAGCACATCTAGGCTACACAAAAATATACACCAACACAAAAACGCATGTTAGAGATTAAAAGGGCCTTTGCAATGAGTTATCCTAGAACCACACATCTGGCTGCATCCTCACTTAAACAACTATTATAAACAATGCTATCAATGTAAATAAAGGCTATGTGGCAAATTGGACACACTGGTTCATCTCCTAATAGACAAATTTACAGAGATAACTTATTTTGATTCATTCTCAAACTGAGAAAACAATTACAAGGGCTCTTACAATAAATGCTGCCCTGTTTTTAAAAAAGTGTGGTGAAATATGACATTGTTGAGCTAAGAGTGAACTTTTATTGTTTCCTCACCACAGCAATGTAAAAATTAGTAAACCTTCACATTCAAAAAGCAGCAAATTGTATATTTGAAATATACCAGACAGAACTATTAGATAGTAAACCATATCCATGTATCATGTACTACGTCCATTATAATTATCTGATCATATTAACTGTTCATATAACATCAAGACATAGGGATGAACGCTGTGAAATTGCCAGCTAGATATCAAGTTAACAAACTGTATCTCTTACTCTCCCACTTTTCTCAGTTTACCCTTTAAGACCCAAGAGTCTATACATACTGTAGATTCCTGGAGTGTTTCATTTCAATATTTTCACATAAAACATAACTCAGAAAATGCACACCTCCACCAAGGTGGCTCAATATCCGCATAATATCATTAAAAAAATGTGTGGATCGGTATGATCCAGATCACCACCAAAACCAAATGGATTATTCTGTGGGCCATGTTTTTAAAATAAGCAAATAACCTAAATTGGACATTGAAGAAATAAAAGAAGTTTGATAAAGTGCACATCATCATTTGGAAACCTCTGAATGCCATAAGGCCCATTTTTACTGAGGCACTGAAGCTGCACACAGGTACTGCAGTGCCATTTTTGTTTCCATATTCATATTTAGAGCAGTTTCTTTCTTTAGTAAATCATGTAATGTAAATACAATGTAAAAAACTGCTAACAGTAAAATAGTGTGGAATTAAAAACTGTCCTTGTCCTAAATGTGGATGGTTATTGTGTTTGGTGCTTCTTTCAAATATAAAAAAAAACAGTTTAAAGATTGCGTTGAAAGATATTTATTCACAGGTTTACATAAATACAGTCACCGAGGTAAACTGAATCATTTTTGGATATCCACCTCAATGTATGTTAATAAATTGCTTCAGTGAAGTGATTAAGTACATCTCTCAGTGATACATGGAATTATTCTCCAGAACTTAACTGTTTAGGATTTATTGTTAGCAGGGAAAATGTAGTCTGACTGAGATTAGACACAAAATGATCTTTACATAATGTTTAGCCACAGCGATAAGAATTACACTCTTTAAATAACTGTCAGTGAATTGGCAAAAATGTCATGTTTAACCTCACATCCTGCAAATTTAAAGGAAAAATGGAAATCTATTGAATCTTAAGGCTTATTAAACATGAACAGTTTGCATGTTGTGGTAGTGGGGACTGAATGTATATTGGGTATCATGTGTTATGTTAACATTTTTTTATGGCATAAAGTGCTGAAAATCCAGCTCTGTTATATTTTAAACCTTTGGCATTTTAAGACATTAATATTTAAGGGTTTTGTTTTTGAGCTGGATGGGGGTCATATGTTACTGTCCACAACTGACTCATCAAATATTTTACACCTGAGAAACTGCCACAGAGAAAGAGGCAGCAGCTTCAGTGTGTCAGAGAAAGTGCGCAGAGTGAATGGAGATGAAGGGTACATTATCAGCGTCACCAGACAGGAGGAGGGCCGTGACACACAGCTC